TGTCATGCAGTGGAGATGGTGGCATCTCCTGGGGGCTTCACACAGTAGGATGCCAGCAGCAGTGAACAGATGGCTGAGTGTGTTAGCATGCATGTGCTTTGCCAGGGGTCAGAGGAGGCTGTTCACCCAGTCAGGAGACACCATTCTCCTGTTGCTCCTTAACAGCACACAACAGGTAGGGTCACAACAGGTTCTTCAGATTTTTACATAATTTCCCATTGTAGTAATCTTATGTCTAACACACCAAAATCCTAAACATCCTTATTATATTTTCTTCTATAAGATCCCTCATTTTTTCAGAATGGCAACTTTTGTCAAATATTACATTATTGTTTTGGTTCTCTCTCGCTAACCAGCAATGCTTCCAACAGCAGCAGGCAGTTGTCTTCCAAGAAAAACCAGTAACAAACTGACTGTAAGCTGCTTCCCCAGCAGTGACAAAAGCAACAAGCTGGTGAACATGGTTTTCTGAGGGGTTGGTGGAGACCAAAACAGAGCTAAGAGGAACGTGAATATTGGACATACACTGATCAGGTGGGCAGAGACACAACAACAGATGAAAGCTAACACTGCTCTGTGTCAGCTGGATGTGTTAGCAGACAACTCTTATAACGTGTTAGCCATATCGCCTTTATATGGTAATATACAGTATGTTGTGTTTACTACTTTCTTGTGCTATGTCCAAGGGGTCAAATATCTGTATTCAGGATTAAATAAAGCAATAGGCCTACAATTAGGGTTGCCAGCTGTCCTGTATTAGATGGGATGTCCCATATACTGGGCTAAGTTGATTTGTCCCACACGGGACAAGTGGTTTGATTTCACACCAGAAAATGTAATGGTAAAACTGAAACCGATTGGCCTCTATGACCTAGAGTAGGTGGTGGCTCCCCTCAAAATGTCTGACACAGTCAGTATGGACCAACTCTAAGAAGAGTTTTGTGCTGGCTTTGAGGAAATACAGAAATTCAGGCAGCATATCACAAAATTCACCAATAAGAACCGGGTGGCAGTTTTCCAAAGCACAAGGAAAGCCATCTTGTTCAGCCTGTTCAGGATTGTCCCATTTGTCCTCAGTGTGCCAGGCTCAGGTGCCTTTGAAGAGAGGGGTTTCTCTCTGATGACCATTAAATGGTCAGACTCAAGATACAGCTACAGCACAGAGCTGATTAAAAATGAACTTCAAATATCTGTGAACTGTGATTTATCATAGAACGACTTCTCTCTGCCTGGCAAAAGGACAAAAGGACAAAAGACTGCTTGAATCAGTCAAGATCAGCAAAACATCTCAAAAAAGTAGTCTTGGTCAGTCATGCACTTCTTTCCCTTTTTTGCATCTGAAATGTCTTTTGTTAGTTAGTTTTGTTGTTGTTGTTGTAACGGTCCAAATTGTGATTTTTTTGACAGTTTATTTTGATGTTAAGCTTATAATGATGCCATAGACTAAGAGCAATATACACATTTAGCCTTTCAAACTGAAAAAAGACATGAATGTACACTGTATATTTACACGTCACTGCACCCACAGCTTTGTGGTACTGTGCCACATTGTGTCCCTTATTTGGTAGGGATGTAATAGTGAAGAAGAAGAATACATGAAATACCTGTGCATAAACATTTCTTTATTTTTTAATGATATTGTCTAACTGCAATTTACCAAACTCAGTTACAGATACTGTGATCATTTTATTGCTGTAGTTTGAGAGAAAAACTTGATCAGAAACTGCTTTTCCTATGACGGTCCACAGCTAGAACAACAAAGTAGCTCAAAATGACAATAACAAGTATCCTCCTCTCTGTTGCCTATGCAACAGTTTGAAGCATTAGAATTTTTCTGATTTTAACTTCTTTTCTATTTGTGAGTTAGCGGCTTTAGTACATTTAGTGTTAGTGAGTGTGGCTTTGGTTTCAGGACTATTACACCCCTATTATTTGGTAGTGAGAGCAGTGAGAAAGATGGTAACCCTAAATACAATAGAAAAAGGTAATAATATTACAGGCTGGTTCACTGTGATTACTACTAATGATTTTGTTTTCATATCATACAGTTATATTAAATATTGTCCCATCCTAGTGTGCTTCATTTCCCATGAAATCATTAATTTCTTCTTGAAACTGTGGCATGTCTTGTTGAATCAAGCTAAAGACTAGGAGGTAAAAGTACATTTCAAGAGGAAGCTGGCGCTGCTGTTTTCTCTGCATCTTCCCAGGAGCACTGATAATTCACAACAATACTGTAGCTCTAACGAGTTTATTCACACTCCAGCAGCCAGGAAACTTTGAGGACATTTTGCATTTTTCTTTTTTTGGCTTCCTGGAAAGATATAAATCTTTAGTTTGGAAGTCTTCCGGATGACTAATACAGTCTTTTACCTCTCACTCTCATCCACCTGCTCTTGTCTTTCTCCCATCTGCTCAATTGAAGATGATAAATGTGTGATGCCCTACGATGGATTGGCGACCTGTCCAGGGTGAGATAAACAGATAATTAAAACTCTGAATGCTGGAGACAAAGAGACACCATTCTGAGTTTTATGGGAAATTTTCTTTTTCGAGTAGTGACACTGACAGAATGACACACGAAGGATCCAGCTACAGATCAATAAATCAGTATTTCATCCCTTCTCATTCCACTCTAGTTGACTTCTCTGGAGAGCCATTTCATCTTCACAGCCCTCTTCCCTGGGTCAGTTTTCTCTTTCTTGTCCTTGTATATAACTTAAGAACTGTCTCAGACTGCAGTATGATAGCAGAAGCACTGATTCACTGTGTCTGCCTGCTGTGACTGGGCTCTAAGCCACTGGAAATGGCCACGCTGTTGATAAACTATGGCGCTGTCAGCTTTCCACACTGTGCTTTCTAGGTTAGGTCATTTGCTGGGACAGAGCTGTGAGCAGAGAGAGAGCTGCCAAATATCACTAAGCTTTTTAAAATATATTGACTCTGACAAGAAGCACAGGAATTGAAAACAGAAAAGCAGAGGGATGGTTAGAATTCATTTGCAGCAGCAGAAATCTGCTGCAGGAGAAAAAACTGGCATTGCCTTATGAAACTGGTACTGCTGGGCTGCGCCGACAGAGTTTGTCAGCTAACACCGACATCAGAAAAATGTCTCACTTATCGTTGAATTCATGTGTGTTGCTCTCCCAAATGATGAGGTGAGTGAAGCTCTGCTATTTCCTCTGATTATCTTTCCTACAAAGCTGATCTCAACTGTTTTCTGCTGATTGGCAGCTAGTATCCATGTGTATGACGGGCTTGTTGTATTAGCTATAGTGAGTGAGTAAGTGATAAATTATTCATCTTATTTGCTATATTCAGTTATCTAACAACAGTTTTATTGTATTTAATTAACAGAATTTCTTTAAAGATGAAGCTACCACTGAATAATTCATAAACATTACGCTCTTTGTGGTGACAGCAGTCAAAATAACATTTGGTGTGATGGTGACATTTCCTGTCCTCCAGAGAAATCATATTTCACTCATTCAGCCACAGGAGTTGTAGTCTGTGAAGCCTGCAGTGAAACTGGTTTCAGATTTCTGCTTTAAGCCAGTGCTCTAACCATCCTAAAACAGAATTGCTTGGATTTGAGTTGAGCATCTCATGCCACATGCAGTTTTGGGGGATTTAGTGTGAGAATGGTCAAATACCAATTTCTTGGAGATTGGTCTCAATTTGTGTGTTTCCTGCCCTCTTAAAATCATTTTATCTGTACAGGTCCCACTGCAGATGCTTAGCAGAACCTAACTGGTTTCACAATTAAGATTGGCACAAAATTACTGGCTTACATACTGTACTGTATGTGTTTGGCATAAAAATGGAGACAAAATAGTGGAAATAAGCACTTACTACATTGTCAAGGTATGGTCCTGGACTTGGTGTGTGACTTCAGACTTGACTTGCCAAAAACAAACACACTTGCCACTTGACATTATTTAGAACAACCTGGGGCCCTGTTCTGACAGACAATGTTATCATACTGATGTTTAGCAGGCAAAATGACTGGTGTTCAGTATCATCTATCATATATTAAACTAGGCCAGTCAGTGGCTTCTATAAAAAGGGAATTTCAGAAACTGCAACAGACAGGTACAGCCACCTGCTTATCAACCAAGGCAGAGTTTTTCTGCTTGCTGTCAGATGTTTTCCCTCTGGAGCAATGTCTGTACACTAAACTACTTTACAAGGTTTTTAGAGGAATTTTACTGCTCTACCTCCCTCTTTCAGGAAAAAAGAAAGAAAACCTCCCTCCATTGATTTCCTGTTACTTTGTGACCAAAATAGTGCAGTGTGCGGAGTCCCTTGTGTGTGTTGAGCTGTTCTAGACGAGCAGGCGGTCGAAGGCAGGCTGTGGGCTGGGAATGGAGTAGAAGGGAGCTGACACTGCGTGAGTCTGTGAGAGCTTCTCATGACAGCCGGTCCCAGATGAGGAGGCCAAATAAACAATGAGTGAGCGAGCAAAGCACAGCCTTTAGCAGAGAGAAAGAAAACAGAAAGAGAGACAGGAATAAGATGACACAGGGTGCAGAGACTTCTGCAGAGGGTAATGAGTTTGGCCAGGTTCCCATGATATGCTGCACTACACAGAGAGAGGGAGGGATGCTTCTAGTCATTACAGTTGGATAAAAAATGTCCCCCATCTCTTCAGCTTTTGTCCCTGGAGATGAATTCTCTTGTTTTTTCAAACAAGCCACAATATAGCTTATATGTGATGTCTATAGATGCTGCAACAGAGAAACAACACGCTCTTACTGATTACTGCTAGTATTGACTTCTGAATCTGCGCCTAAGGGCACCCATCACCCAGTTTGGAGTAGGAATGAAAAGAGATGAAAAGGATTGGAAATATTGACCAGTGTCCATTTGTGCTTCTGTTATTGGTGTATCTGGGTGAAGTGGCTCCTGCAGTGACTCTCTTGTTCCCCCTTTCTCTTTCTGTTTATTTTTCCATTTTTCCTTTCTTCCTGTCACCTCCACCCTTTACTCATCCCATACAGAGGGTCTCTACCAGCTGGGAGGCCCACGCTGTGCCCCTCAAAGCAGCATTGAAGGACTGGAGGACATAGAGGTAGGATTATCACAAACACCCTCTCAGTATATTCACTGGCAGCCAAGAACAGGTACTGTAGAAGTGGTTGGTTATTTGTACAGCACTGCAGCCCCACTTACTTCTCAAATGGCTGCCTCTATTTTTTTCCCTCTCTTTGAGTGTCTCACTTTAAGGGTCTCTTTTCTATCTCAACCCTTTTACAGAAGAAATGTAAGACCCATGTGCTGCTGCTTGTGGTGCACGGGGGAAACATCTTGGACACAGCAGGTGGAGACCCCAGCACAAAGGCTGGCGATGTGGCCACTCTGGCCTCAGTGCTGGAGAAAGTGACACGAGTGCATTTCCAGGCCGCTGCAGAGCATGTGATGATCAAACTGGTGGCATGTCCGGCAGTGTGTGCTGAAGCCTTCTCCCTAGTGTCCAAGTGAGTGCTGTTGCCAGAATACAGTCTCAATGGACTCATAATTGGATCAAACCCAGATTTGATTTAATGCACAGATTTAAGAGAAAAAGCAACTAAACAGCTGGACAAGGGCATCAGGGGTAAGTGAATGGTTTCATGACCATGCAAAGAATATAAATGATATGCTATGACCTTCACAGTCACCAGATTCCAGCCCATTTGAACAATTAAAGGAAATTATGTACCAATATGAAAGCTAGCTTAGCATTAGTTAAAGTGTTACAGAGTTAAGGATGATGGTTAGCTGTATCTTGGTTAGCTACTTTATTAATTCTCTCGATACGACTGGTGAATTGATGAGCTCCAAGGCTCTATATTACTTCATTAGTAACTACGCAGTTCCTGAAGAAACCATGAGTCGCGTCTGATGTTGCATCTGTTTGGCCTTAGCCAGGACCAAACTCTGCACCTTCTGATCATGTGACTGTGTGTTAGCCACAGAGACAACTGAACCGAAAACATCTCAGGTTTATACAAGTAGCAGCGTAACAACATACTCTACTGTTTCACACCAGCTGTATAACACATGCTTTTTAGAAATAACTATGTCTTCTATATTCTATGACGAGTCCAAGTGGACATTTTTCATTTGAGGTGTGTAAGCTGAAAACCGAGCAATCTCAGAAATAAAGAACATCCACATGGGCAGTGCTATGACAAGTCAGAAGATTTGCTGTGGTAGTGGCCTGGCATTAAAGTGCATACCGCTTAAACACATTGTCCACGGTTAAATTCCAGCTGTAGACCTTTGTTTCATGTCATGTTTACTGGCTCTTCACTACTAATTGACAAATAAAGAAAAAAACCATAAGATCACCTTTGTTGTGAAGAAGGCCTGTTATATGTCTCAAACCGATTGTGGAGGTCTTTTGTGGAATCTCGCTTGGCTGTTGTGACATAAGATGGCAATCCAGTCCACTCCAGGATGCATAAAATGGCAAAGTGTAAATTGGACCATTAGCTTCATTAAGCCTTGTATCAAGTCTAGGTGCCATTGTACCTCCTTTAATTTGTTTTTATGATTTTATTTCACATAATTTCAGTATTAATGTTCTGCCTCTGTGTTGTTTTTTAATCCTCTCTGTTTTCGATAAACTTTAATTACCATTAAGAAGCAATGAATAAACACGAGGCTTTACCGTTTAGAGAAGCATTTGAGGAATCTGCCCAGTATGAATGCATGCATGCCTGGTTGGCTAAAGTGGTGAAGGTTAAGAGAAAATAATGAGGAAATATACTGACTTAAGACCCCTGAACAGATGCGATCTTAATTAGCATGCTGATGACATTTCTCAGCCCCAGCAAGCATGTGGCCATGTGGAATATATAACTCCTAACCTTTTCAGTGCTGCTGCTTTAATTTAATTCTACACTTACATCCTGCAGGCGGCTCCTTAGTGACAAAATGAGCGCATAAATGACAGTTTGAACTCTGCAAGGGATGTGTGCAGTGATTCGTTTGTTTAGGTACTTTGTATTCAGGTTTCATTTTTGCTATCAATTTTAGAAAGAATGTTAATTGTGGATGTCTTAGTAGTAGCTCAGTGATGAACAGCAGTCGGTAGATGAGAGCTCCCTTATGATAGATTATACAGTATTATGTCCTTGAAAACTCACAGTTCTTTGTAGTCTTAGGCTTGAAATACAGGTGGTGTTTGTTCTTTTTTAATCTCATCTGCTGCCTTTTCAGAGAGCTGCTTAAGCGTGATTTCATTTCACATTTAGTGTCACATGTTCCACTGGTCAAGGGTTTTGTCTTTGACAGCATCACTTAGTTTTAGCTGCTTTCCAGTTATACACTGAGGATGTTTTTGTCTGAGATGTCACCAGTCACCGTAGCTGAGAGAATGTCTTTGGCAGTCAAGTCGAGGCTTCTCTCTGGATTTGTTATTGATATTAGCAGGAGTGAGGCAGTGACTGGGAGCAAGACAAATATAAAGACACTGCTTGCTGTACAGTAGTCGCTCAATGTCTGCTTGGCTTTCACCATATCCAGAGATAAACTATTATGAAGAGCAACTTCCCATGGAAATCAAATGCCTATTCTTGTATGTAAACACATACACAGTTTACATTCATGCATGTTTGAAATTTAGAAAACAGCATGTCACAAAAAAACTAAGTGCTCTTATTAGGAAATAAATAAATTAACAAATGATTTAATACATCTTCAGCTGAAGAAAGAGATAGAATTATTCATTGAAATTATGAGACTGTACCATTTGTTTGTCTCTCACTGAAAACTAATAGCATCTTTCCTGTTGTTTATTTATCTATCTTAAAATGTATTATTTAATCATTTTATATTTCAATTTTTTAATAATGTAAAAATATTTCCAATATAACCTGACTGCCATTGAATTTTTGATGTGGATATTGACATTTTGTAGTTTTTAAATATTCACAAATGATAAACCAGTTGGTAGTACTGTTATTTTTTAAATGATAGAGATATAACATAAACAACAATCTTGAACGATTTCTTTTTTATAGAACTTGTCCATACTACATAATACGTAGGACATTTTATAGTTGACAAATCAATTTGTCATGGTGGCTCAATTTGTCAAAGCTTTTTTGGCATTTTGGTAATGTCACTTATCAGCATCCATATACATCTACAGTATAGAGCATATACCTGCAGGACAGTATATACCCGCAGGATGCTGCAGTAGTAATGGCCAATATACTGGTCTAGTCCTAATCTCTGTACTAGATGAGATCCAGTATGGAGAACCAAAATCACTCCAGCTCCTTGACATACTCTGACAATATGTGCAGTCAGTGGGAATTCATAAACACCCACACAGTAACAAACGACACTTACTCAACTACACTTTTGTCAGTTAACAGTTTGCTCTAATGACAGTGTTGGACTTGTGGGTGTGTGGAGCCTCATTTAGTTGCATGCCAGCATCAACATCAGAGGAATAGGCAGCCACACGGGAAGAAATTACTGCTGTGTGGGTAATTTACGCTCGTTCTTGGTAACAGCTTGGCTGAAAATCACACCACAGAATAGAGGTGGCAAAACCTCTTAGCACCTTCAAGACAAACTTTCACATAAACAAATCACTTTGGACTCAGAAAATTCTTTATATGCTGTAGCACGTCCCCATAAAAAAATGAACATTGTTCAGCTTATGTTGCCGTCATTGCCACAGGTGTTGAAGGCCTGCTGTGCTCTGAGTGGTTCTGAGTGCTCATTATTAGCTCTGCCTGTTAATGAATGTACCTGGCAGTGCTGGCTAGGAACTGGGTGTCAACACAACAGACACATGTAATCCATAAGCACACTCTCACAAATACATCGCACACAAAACAGTTGGACAGCAGCACTGAATGTGTATTATTGTACCATAACATGTCCAATTAACAGAGACAGTGAAGAGGCTCCCAGCCCTAACATATCGCCTCTGTCATGGTTTCAAGAAAAAGAAACATTTCAAGTATTAAAACCTTCCTCTGAGCAACAGGAGAGAAAAATAACATGGATTCAGTAGATTCAGTGTCATTGCACTAGACCAGTTTTCTATCTAGGGAAAAGAGGAAAGGCCACTTGTCCATGTGGACAGTGACTGACCTCAGTTCAAGGAGATAGAGAGTCATTATTCAGGCCATTTACAGTTGGGGACATGCCGCTACTATTTCCGGGCCTAATGAAGAATACTCTGCAGCAGGCCACTGCTGTTCATTTTAATTGTAGAAACGCTGTGCAGCACTAAGCCAACCATTAAGACAGCAATTAAGCAGGAATCTGACAGACTTAAGAATTTTCATTTTGACATTCTATGGCAAGAGGAAAGAGAGTTGTGGGGAGGCAATAATAGCGTCTATCTCAAGATTATGCTGTGTGAGATGAGACCAATTCAAGGTTTAATCGGCTCACTTCTCCCTGCTTTTGCTAATGGATCTCTTCATCATTCATTACCATGAAACTTTGAGTAGATCTGCAGTACATCTCTCAGTATAGAATAGTATAATTACCCTGCCTTTTAGATGTCATTGAATGAGTCTCTGACAGGGCTTCTTGGAAAAATGAACATGGTAATCAGAGGCAAAGTTATAAAGCTCTCTTGGGTCAAAGATGAAGGATAACCTTGCAGCTAATCCCAAATCAACTGATGACCATAACAAGCAGCAAATGAGGCCTTTATGTAAGCGAGTCTTCAAAGGTGTGTACTTTGGTGACAACGCATTAAGATCTCTGTTAATACAGGACAGAGAGACGGGAACTGGGCTGCTCATGAGTGAATGACTCATACCTTGTAATAACAGAGGCAGATTCATCACTGCAACACGAGGCATGCTTCTCTTACTTTCAGTGGCCTGTTAATGCTCTTCTTTCAGCAGAAAGCCTTCCAAGTAGCATATTTGAATCATCTGCTATCTCTGTTGATTGATGTCAAGTTTGTCATCCCTGTAACCTGTTAGAAGACATTTTGATGAACGTGTGCTCTTAATTAAGAATCTAACCACACAGCCATACTGCACTATAAAATCCAGACTGTAGAACACCATCTGTCTCCAACAACAAATCTAACGTTTCTGCTCTGTCAACATTGTAAGGCTGATAACGCAGCCACTATTGTACCTTACTGATCATCAGAATTTTAAAGTTAATTAACATTAGCACTGTTAATATTCATTTTATCCATTAAATGCAGGTGGTATTTGGACAGTTTGGTTGAGCACAGGTGTATACGGTATACAAAGATGCTTTTGAGCAGCTCATAATTAATGGAATGACTTGCAGCCCCTGAAGACATTATACTCTCAACCTGCCTCAGCAAATAAACTAGAGAACAGTTTGGCTCATACACACAAATGTGCAGACACACATCATTTGTGCACATTCTTTTGAATGTAAAGCAGTGGCTGCTCTGTGGCAATAATACTAACAAGCACGTCCATAATTAAGTAATTATGCATGCAAATAACAAGGGATTTACCTGACATTTGTTGAACAGTGCAGCAGGTTTTAAACCTCTGTTCCTGCCCTGTGACATGTGAACCCTGTTCAGAGGTAGCATTCTGTTTGGAATATTAGAGGGTTTTTTTTCCAGCTTTGAGTGAACAAGAGTGTGTTTTTGGCAGTGTGTGTGCAGCAGTTGTTAACAAGATCAAGGCTGGGTGACTACACCACTTGCCCCAAAGCTTCAATGGAACTGTGCTGGGATGTGGGGGTTTCTCATTTCAGTGTCAAAATTCAATAAGACACCTGATAAAGAAGTCATCATGAGGTGACGCAGTGCAATATGTTGCCATATTGGTCCTTGAATCACCTGAGCTGTACATTTCACATAGCAGCTTCTGTAGGAGGAGTGACACTGTTGTCGTGCAAATAACTGTGCAGTACCATTCCAGTGACACAGAATATATTACAGCGGCTTCATCTTTTGTCTGCTTTCTTTTAAATCTGCACTGGGCAGCTCAAAGAGTGGAATCTATCTCAGAAAGCTGCCTTTGAGAACACACAACATTGCAGTTTCACACCACCACTGTGGCAAAGTGGCTATTTTGCTAGTGAGGAGCAGATTTTTCTCTGCCTTCATTCAGTAATTTTGTGACTCAGTGTGAAGTTAGAATATGTGTTGTACTTCTTTGAACATTTCAAAAAAGCTTTTCTTTGAGCTCTATTTGCTTATTTACCTCCCACATTCACACATTTCATGGAGTTTAACCAGCTATAATTTGATTAAGGCCTTACACCAAGGCAGGGCCCATGTAAACAATATTATCCTTCTATATTAATATTTTTATTTTTGCGGTTGTTTTTTATTTTTGAGAAGAGGTGCTATCACATAGGCAGAAGTAAAGCTATGCTAAGCTAGCCATCCCTCCAGACTGCATATAAGGGATTTTCTGACTTTGGTTCAATATTTTCTACTCAGCTTCTAATTGAGTGTGAATGTTGTCAGTTTGTTCGGCAGGGAATTGTCCTCGAGTTGTCTGAGGGCTTTGAGTAAATGTTTGCCTTTTGTACCCACAACATATTGCAAAGACTTTAATGTCTAAAATTCTTTAGGACTCTGTGGGTTAAAGAATCTTTTGCTAATAGGCCTAAGGTCCCATTGGAATTTGTACGTAGGTGTTCCCCTTGCGGTTGCAAAATGAGCCCCCTGTAGGCACTGAAAGATTGTTTAGGAGTAAATCTACCTTTGTCCCTCCAAAACATAGAAATGCTTCATTGGATTTCTATTGTTATTAGTGGAGAGAGATGTTTTACAAGGTCTTAATAAGAAAAGAGAACATAAAGCTTAAAACAATTTGTCTCAAGATCAAAGATAAGCTTCAAAATAATTTTAAAACAGACAAAAATCTGGTAAAGGCGACTCAATAGTGGGATGTTTTATAAAAAACTTGATTCAGATCCAGGTATTTAAAAAGACTTCGTAATATCTTGTCAAGTTATGGTGAAAGTGGTGATATCACCCAAAGAGAATTTGATTTTATGAAAGTGGATCATACCAGTTATTTTTGTACTGCCTCAAATACATAATATTTGGAAAAGCCAAGTGGTAGACCTAGAATAGCTGTTACTGGCTGTTTTACAGAGAAAATATCAACTGTTGCCGACAGTCTTTTGAAACATTATGTCATTTCATTACCTTCTTATGTAAAATATGAGCAAAATGTAACTTTACTGATGTGTCACTCCTTTTCTCATTCGCACTCTAGTAAAAAAAATTCAGTGTAAGAGGCATCATTACTTGCAATACAAAAATGTATGATTAAATGTCCTTGTGGTTTGGCCTGTATTGGAAAAACCACAGGAGAGATTAATAACATCCTTTAGAAGATTTTCACTTTCAATACTTTGTTGCCTAAAGGCTTAAATTGAGATTTTGATCTAAAACCTTTTTTGTAGTATAGTAAATATTTGGCATACTATTTATGTTTTGGCCAATTGTTGTCCAAGTGGGATTATAGACTAATAACTTTTTAGAAATAGAAATTCTCTCCTGTTTGTCATGTTTTGTCTTGTTGTAATTGTTTTTACGTTTGATTTTTTTGTTTTTCTTTTTCACATTGTGTTTACCTGTTTGATTGCTCCCCCCATGTTGACGTCTCCTCCTTTAGCGTGGAATTGTTTTTATTTTAATTCTGTCCTGATTGATCCTTTTTAGAAGCTGACTGTCTTCAAATTAGTCAGACTGAAAACACCTGAGTGGTGTCTTAGCAGGTGCACATAAAAATGTGCCTTTCATTGTGGTGTCTGTTTGACAATGCCTGATGAAGATCCTGTATAGATCAAAATGTTGCTGCTACTACTGAATTAAATTATTGGGAGCTCAATACAGTGTGTAAATTTTTATTTTGTTTTTTTTTGCCTTTAAGCTGTTGTTTGTTCAGCAGCTGTGTATGCTTTTTTTGGCCTGCATGGGTTTTCTCTGGGTGCTCTGGCTTCCTCCCTAGCCCAGAGACATGCAGGTTAGTTTGACTGGTGACTCTAAATTGCCCATAGATGTGAATGTGAGTGGGCCATATGCTGTACAGACTGTGAAGTTGGGACTGCAAATGTTAGGAGCAAATTGGAGTGTGTGACACATGTAAACAGGAAAATACTGAGTTCACATAGTTGGTCTTTTTATAGGGTTTGTTGACCATAACAGAAAATACTGGATAATGCCAGCCTTGTTCTTTAACAGTTCTTAAAGACATTGTTGGAAGGCAACACCAAACATGGTCACAAATTGATTTCTGTATTGTCTGATTGAACAGAGATTAAACTAGTATTGATCAGGTAATCTAAGCTAAGCAGCTGTGTACTTCACAGAATGTTGCATCTACATTTTTGTGTGAATGCAACATTAATGCTGGTAGTCCTTTATACTCGCACAAAGAGGTTGTGCCCTTCATGTGTAGTGATGTGTCCACAGTTACTGACATATTGGTGCAGCAGTTCTGCTTCCTTTTGTAATCGGAGCATTTGATGGATGATGATGGGGTTGGCCCTGCTGCTGCTCACATCTTTTACCATTTCCCTACCCTGTCACACCAGGAGACAAGTTTGGTCTGTGTGTAGACTGTCACTGTGACACACAGGCAAACCACATACACAAACCTTCAAGTCTACACAGCAGAAAGACAGCCTATGTTCTCATTGTTGTTACCTTGTTTGTGTTTTATTCCTTTTTGATAGTGTCCTTTTTGCTCTTATCTTGTGTAAACACACATTCTACCACTGTGGAAGAGAGTAGCCTCAAATTGGAGCACAGAGTTATGAACTGATTAGATAAGACATTAGTAGATGTAGGATGGTCAAGGGGAAGTGTCACTAAAAGAGCATCAGGATCTTTTTCTTTCTAGACTTGATTTACTTTGACATTACTATGAATTAGAATCTGGTGGTTTTACTAAGGAAACACCAAACAAAAGGCAAAGTGGTGATGTGCTGTACAGTAATGTATTTTGTTTCTTCACACCTTCATTCATCCATCCTCCCTCTTTACTTGCCGGCTTCCTTTCTACCTACTTCACATTTTTGCAGTCTGAACCCATACAGCTATGATGAGAGCTGTGTGTCTAGCAGTGTGGACCACCTGCCGCTGGCTGCCCTCCCTCTCCTGGCTATTGTCTCCCCACGCTACCAGGACGCTGTAGCAACCGTGATTGCCCAAGCCAACCAGGTCTACCGCAGCTTCCTTCAGTCAGAGGATGGCCAGGGATTCACTGGCCAGGTCTGTTATGCCTTCTTCTGTTTGGAGAGGAGAGGAAAAGAGGGGAGAAGATAGGACTCATTCCCTAGTGTCTCATTGTTCAGTCAGAAGCCAGTGACTGCTTTAGAGTGTGCTGTGTAATCTGTGAAAACCCTCAGAGGACTCCAGATCTCTATTGTTAAGTGAACCACATTTCACCCTCTTGTACATAACAGCTACTAGGCTCTTACTAATTTCTTGTTCATTTCTAATGAGGTAATGTTCTGTGAAAGGCTGTTCACAATTATGTTCAATTTGACAACATTACATTCAGGCTCTGAAACACGACTTCTTTGCTTAGCTTAAACTTATTAATTATTCTCAGTGTAATTAAAAAGTCAGTAATGACAGTGTCCAAAGCATAATTGCTGTTTTCCTGCTATTAATAATTTTTTTTAAATGAACTATTATACTTTATAGGATGGAATTGGGATACACTGAGTGTCATATGTGTCCCAGCAGAATATGTTGTTTTCATTTTTTATCCCATTCATACACCTCTCTAAGTGTTCAGTATGTGGAGGTCATCCAAATTCCATATTTTCTGAGCAGGTATGCCTGATGGGCGACTGTGTGGGAGGTGTACTGTGCTTTGATGCTTTGTGCTTCAGCAACCAGCAGAGGCCTGGCAGCCCCAACAGCAGCAGCAGGAACAACAGTACTGAGAGCCTGAAGGTAGGAGCTCAGTGCTACAGTGATACCATGATGATGCACAAGGCTGTAGATGGCCTGGGAGACTATTAACAGCTGGGGAAACAATATTTTAGTAGTGATACTGTACCTGATTAGGAGATCTCTGCGAATGATCAAGATTACATGCCTGTTTTATACCTTGTCTTCATCAGGGAAGTTAATTACTACAAGCATATGTGCACAGGTGGCAGTGTCCTTGGCACAACTCCCTGTCCTCCCTAGTCACAAACAGAGACTCTCATGCACCAAATTCCCCTCTGCTATGCCTATTCTCTGCCAGGTATTCACTACAATGCTTCTATCAACACTTTTAGAAGTGGGACTGTACACAGGTGTCAGTGTGGCTAGGCGATCTAAAGAATCCTATATAAATGTTGTAAATCAAAGTGTTTATCACCATTTGTTTCAGTGGGTATCTGAGTCTTTTTGAGAATCATTGTAAAGACTTTCTGTGGTCATTTTGTTGCATGATGCCCACTTTCTGCCTACTACTCCCTTCCTTTCTCATTTTCCCCTTCTATTCACTCTTTGCCTACCACACTTAACTGCTCACTTGGGAAAATGTACGGTCTTCTATCTGATTATATGTAATTTCCTGGTGCAGCCACTGCTCTGAGTTTATGGGGCTTTAGGGTAAGTTATGCATTCTCCTCCTTCCTCTCAGGAAAACTCAGGCCTGCTGGGGGAGTCCAGCCCGGGTCTGAGTTCTAGCAAGAGGCTGAGCAAGAGCAACATCGACATTTCTGCCCCTAGCGAGGGCCACGGCCAGGGCAGGTCATTGCTCAACCGTAAGCAGAGCGACTCGTATGACGGAGACACCTCGTCTACTGGCCAGCACACCTTTTTTCCCAGGTGGAGCAGCATATTAACATACCCACAAACGGGCATATACATTTGTCTACCATAAAGTATTGCGAATATTTATTCATTTGATATATTTGTGTATTTGTGTTGTGTCATTGTGGGCAATTTCAAATCAATGAGCAGCACTGACGGCCATATAGGGTTATAGTGGCTAATTACACTAGATCACTTTTTTAAAGATTTACTGTCCTATATTAGCCAAAATGAGATATCTATGACTGGTTTCTTATTGATTTTTTTTTAGTCAATTTCAAGATGGTTTAATATCACATTATATATTACTGTCACTTTCATTAATATATTCAATACTGTATATGTATATCAATTGTATTTTATTCATAGCACAGGCAGTATGACTGTATATATCATGAGACAGTAAGCATTTACCTACAGGTACAAGTTTCTGATACGCTGTTAATATTGAGATAACTATCCATTTAATATCTCTGGATAAATCGGATCATTGTAGGTAATGATGAAAAAAAAATCTATAAGTAGGACTTATATGTAGTAGTATGCTTATATCAGATTTTCATATATGATTGTCCATTCTTACTATGCTGGATTACTGTAGCCAAAAGAGACATTCCACTCACATTTTTAAGTAGATTGCTTTTAGAAAATGTTTTGTAGCACAATGACAGTGGTGTCCTAATGATTAGAGAAGTGAGTGTGTGGCCCAGTCCCTTTTCTTCTCGGAATTTCCAACAACTTGTCGCATTAACTGTCGATGATGCATAGATTTCAACCGCTACTTGTTGTAACTGCGTTTTGAGGGTTCTCTTGAAAAGCACTCAAAAATGAGGGGTAGGGGTAAAAAATAGCTAATTGGATTGGGCCCTAGTGTTCCCTGTCACTCGATTTAATTGGTACAGCACATATTTGTATTGAATATCATGCCGTTGTGTGTGCTGCCTGACAACGCCTCTATTCACTCGTTAAGGCTGACAGCCTGTGGTGACGTGTACGGCCCCACCTGAACTTACAAACCACCATCACCACAGCTGACCCCCACTTCTTATGCTCTTCATCTTGCTAAAAATGCCTCACCCTACAGAGTTTACAAGCTAGTGCTGGTTATAGCTCTGTGTTTTTTGTTTGTCAGGACTTTTCTTCAAAGCAGCTTGACTGTTCTTGTTGGGATTAGCAACAACATCCTCACTTGATAGGTCACCTGCCCACAGAGTGCTGATTTGTTCTGTGTGATTGCTCTTATGTGAGGTTGGTTGATTCCTTTTAGTTGTGCTAATGGTGCTGACTGCTATGACTCTGCAAAGAAGGCTTCCATCTGCCCCTGTCCCCAGGAGTGTTGCTCCAGCATTCAACCCATAATGGCAAGTTGTATTTGTAGAAAGAGTGCTGGAAACAACTGTCATCGCAGTTGCCCTAGAGTGGCCCACCCCACAGCTAGCAATGTAAGCATCACTGTTTTGTGTGCTTTTATTTTGATAGCCAGCCATATACGTACATGAGAGAAGAAAACGTTCCAGGGGTGATGTATCTCTAAGTCAGTGGTAACCGACATGTTTGATAAATTGGGGTTTTATCTGTTGCATGAAAGGGTCAAGTGGCAAAATACTTTCTATGACAATTGGCTTTGACCTGTAGCAGCCAAGAAAAATACACTGATCATCAGAAACAAGTATGAAGTGTTCTGAATTAAAAAGGATACACACCACAGTAAGTGTGAATGTTATGTTTTAACCAAAACTCCCACTGCAATCTAGGAAATATGTTGTATGTTTTTTTTCAGTGTTTTGTATGTATGATAGTGTAAATGCTTCCTATCTGAAAAGGTTTGTTGAATTGGAAGGTCACTGGTCCTTATTTGTATTTAAATAGCACTTGAAAGTGAACAGAGGAGCGCAAATTTTTTAAATTATACTTTACATTTTAATTAATTAAAATATAATTGTGTGAAATAGGCAGATATCATCACTTGATATCGATTGCAGGCCCCCGAATTGAATCAAATTGAAATTGCATCTTGGCATATTTTTAAGTTTCAGCAAACATCAGATCCCTGGCAAAGAGAGTCAATATAGGACTGTATGATTGTATGATGATGAAAGTGGCAATTTACACCACTACTGGTCAGATAAGGTGATGTCAGGATAGAAGGTGGAGGGAGATGTCACAGCCTGGGAAAAGCAGGTGATGAAGAGAAATTGATCTGAAATTAACAGAACACATCAGGGAGAAGAGATCTTCCTCATTACACAAATACCTGCAACTTGGCAATAACACATCAGAGGTGCAGAGTAATATCAGAAACTTTCTTTCATTTTTATCAAACGGCATTTATTTACCACTGATGAATGTATTAGGGGTTCGTGTGACAACCCAGATGTTATACGACAGCCCTCATCCAGGTTTTCCAAGAATGTGTCACCCTGTCTCATCCCTGCCCTTTATCAATGTTTGCAGCTTGACTGCCCTGCCTGCCTTGCTTTGCTGGACTATAAATAGTCTGTCTGTGTCTGTGCCAGCCAGTTTGTGTGAGAGACCAAGCGCTGCGGGTGAATTAAGTTGAGGCGGGGTGGCTGGAGGGCTTATAGCTGCCATGTTAACTGACTTCAAGCAACCAGTGTTCCCATTCCAAATGACATGCTCCACTAGGCTTACACCATCACAGTCACTGAGAGTAGGATCCTATCAAGTCACAATTATGCCACATTGTGTTCATGGCAGTGCACCTCTCACCATTCACTTCTTGTTACACTCCTGATAAAGCCTGAACCTGGTTGTGTGGAGGGTAACCTCTGCTCCTGGATGTGCACTTTATCCCCATATGTCCCAGTGGATATTCCTTTCTCTAGGAGTTTATTACATCTTTTTTCCCAGGCACTCTGTTGTATTTTTCTTCAGTTTATGTTTGTTTGGGATGTGTGTTGACAAAATTTAGCAGAGTAATGTTTAAACTAATGTTAATAAAACAAACATAGGTTTGAGAGGAAACAGACACCTAAGTTGACATAATTGATGGCATTTATACAGGTATTTAGTCTAAAGGGCCTCAGCAGGAGGGGACACAGCTCCTGTGATCCAGTTGATAAACACAGGCTTTCAGGCAGGAGGGGGGTCACACCATCTGGGCCTGGTGCCTTTTATTGTTGTGTAGCAGTGGTCCAGTGTGATTTTGTCCCTGGTGGGACAACTGACATGCTGTTTGTATTTGGGCAGTTTGTGGGTGAGATTTGCTCTGTTAAAATCTCCTAGATCAGTGAGTGGAGAGCTGGGATGTTTCCAGTTCATGTGAATTACCTGGTCAGCCAGGTTGCCGCACAAGCCTGAGGTAGAATGTACAAACCCACCAGGATAAATGAGGAAAACTCTCAATGTGAATTAAACAGTTTGCAGTTAATGAATAGAGTCTCCAAATACTTTACAAGTTTTCCCTAACACTGTGACATCTTTACACCAACCTTTGCTTATGTAGAAGGCTCCTTCTCCTCTCGTTCTCCAACATAACTCTGCTGGAACTCTATCAGCTGTGTTGTGCTGTCCACAGTTGATTCGCTGAGCCACATCTCGATGAAACAGGGCAGCAGAATGTATGAAGTCAGAATTTGTCTGGTTGACAATGTGCAGTTCATCCATTTTGTTGGCTAGGGAGCAGAGATTGATTAGATGGATGGGCAGGAGCTGCATACCATTACCCCACCTGCATAGCTTAACCAGGGCACCCATGTGTCTTGTCCTCCTGTCCCTCTTCCAGGTCCTTAAAGGCAGCAGCAGCAGCTGCTGACTAAAATGTCCATACAACTTTTTCCATCTATAAAAACTGGAGAAAGCAGCAGCAGAGGGTCACAGCTGAGACCAGTTCAGCCATTCAAACAGCCCTAAGCATGATGCAGCTCATGAAGGCTGACTGAAGAGCTGCTCAGTATGAGTCATAGAGGTCTGGTGCTGACAACAACTTCAGAGTGTTAAAACATATCAGCCTACAACTGAATCAGAATAAAACAAAAGCATTGCTCTGTGTCAAGACCAAGACATTTGTCCTTCCAGTTTCAGCATGTACTTACCTGAAGCCACATTTATTGGCTTTTAGCTCATTCTTCATGGTAAATACAGCTTTTAAAGTTCAGTTATCTGTACAGCTCTTTTCATATACAGCACAGTGGTAATTCAAGGTGCACAACATCAGCATAAAAGCTATTGATCGATATAGTAAAATCATCCCAGGACACATACAATAATAATAATGAGAGTAATAAGAAAAATGCAATTAAAAAAACAAATGCACACACACTCAGGCAGACAAGACACTGAATTTTAAGAGTAAAATCTCAGCTTGTCCCAATCTTGAGTAAACAGTTTTAAAATTTCTTTCGAATGTGGAAATGGTAGTGACTGATCTCAGGTCATCTGGCAGTTTGTTTCAGAGACTAGTTCCAAAGTAACTAAAAATTCCGAAAAAGGCCCGGCTCTTATTCTGGGTGCAGTCAGAGGATGACTACTAGCAGACATGAATCATCTGGGTGGACTATAGTCACTGGATAGGTCAGTAACACACTGGGGAACTAAATCATTAAGTACTTTACAGACCAGCAGCAGAAATTTAAAATTAATCCTATGTTGTACTGGGAGCCAATGAAGAGGTTAAATATTTGCATGTCTGTGTAAGGAGTCTGGCTGCTGCATTGTGATTGACCTGTAGTCGTACAGCTCGCTACACATTAATTCAAGGATAACTTTTTTGGAATGTGCTTGACATATGTATGACTCATTTAACTTTGGATATGCTTTTTAATTGATAGTAAGATGATTCTGAATGTGAATATATTGTCCTACAACTAGGACTTGCACTTAGTTGTCCCTGTCTTACTGTTATTCATTCATTCATTCATTCATTCATTTTCTACCGCTTAGTCCCTGAACGGGGTCACAGGGAGGGGCAGGGGTGGGGGAGCCAATCCCGGCCGGCAATCGGGCGAAGGCGAGGCACACCCTGGACAGGTCGCCAATCCATTGCAGGGCTACTGTTATTCAGTTATTGAAAAATGTTGGGCATCCAGCTCTTGATATCATCAATATAGTCCAGGCCAGACCAGTTTGCTTATAGGGCTTAGCTCATCAGAGCACAGAGAGATATCGGTATATGATGGATAAGATACACTATGTGTTTTTAAATGTGTCCACATGAATGCTTGGTATAAGCCAGTTAGCACTGCATTATTATTAAATAAGCCGCTTTCACAAAATCCTCCTGATGGCCTCCAGCCCATTTAATGGCCAGTCATGGCTTACATTGACCATTCTGGTGATAAATTGTTAGATTAAGAATCCAAAGAGTGATGGACCCACTATTCTTCACTGGTATCCCATGGCAACAGATATTCTGCACAAAAGATATGGAGATAAAAATACTTATTCTGTATCCGGTAAATAAAATGTCATATTTTGTGTCTGTTCCTCAGTTTGATGAAAGACAATGTCGAGGTGCGTGGCAGCAGCAGCACCACTCTTATGTTGAACCCTGGGCGATTTGACTTTGAGGTGTCTCAGTGCTATCTGCTGGGTTGTCCGCTGGGCCTCGTGCTGGCCATGAGACGTACTGTACTGCCTGCTGTCCAGGGTAAGAATCACACACACAAAATATACACATACAGTACATCTGCAGAAGCATGTGCTCATGTGCACCTACAGATAACAGAATTTTTTTCCTGTGTGTCTCAGATTGCTGTACTGTTTTCTTTTTCTGTTGCTTGAACTGCAGTGAGCTGGTTTTCTGTTAAAAGACTCATTTTCTTCACCCAGATTTTATCCTTGATTTATCCAGAGGGTGTTGTCTTTGTGCTCCATGGATATAAATACCTATATTTTTTCCTGCTATACTCTTCAATGTAATTTACTACTAACAAGGTCCTCTGCTGGCAAGCACAGCTCAGAATGTTTCCATTTATAGAAATGGGGAGAAAATGCAAATACAGTCCCTTAGAATAATAATAATTAAAAAAAAAAAACCTTAATGATATTTTCACCTGGATTCTTGTATGTTTCTAAATATTGCTTTTCATCTGACTCAGCTACACTACTAACTTCCTTTTCCTAATGCCCATGCCTGTCCATTGTGTTTTCTGACTGTCAGTGAGCCAGCTCCACCCAGCATGCTCTCAGATTTTCAACCTGTTTTACCCTTCGGACCCTTCAGCCTCCAGGCTGGAGCCTCTACTGCAGCCTCTCTTCCATAAGTTACCGCCATTTGCTGTGCCACGCTACCAGCGCTATCCTCTGGGAGATGGACGTTCCATGCTCATAGGTAAGACAGGTGATGTGACACAATTTTTCAGTGTGAGGAGATGCGAGAGCTGCTCCTTCTAGATGTTTCATTGTATCAATTAATGGATGAATAAATAGATGAATTAATCCATGTTCTGGTGCAGTTGCTTAGTATTACTAACCTTTTGGATTTTTGCATTTCAAAGCTGGAGTGAAACCTTTGAAGAATTCTGTTAGGAGGACAGGATTACAGCAGCAGGGATTCTATGCCTTAGTGACTTGAATTTTCACAGGAGATCATGTTATTTGCACAGAGGCAAGATGTACACAGACACCCACTCCCATCTGTGTGAGCTTACCCTGTAGAGATGAAGTTAAATCCTGCCCCCAGAACCTGAAGTTTGAAGTGATTACATTGCATCTTCCCGTGGTGCTGTACCTTTAGCCTGCCACAGCTCCCTGAGAATCAGCTACAGAGAGATGGTAATCTGCTAGTTATGACACAGTTCTGCTGTAATCATCATGAAGGTCTGGTTGTAGACAGAGCTCTTAATGGGCCGTTTTATTTCAAGCATGTTTTAGCCCACTTTTGGGACAAAGAGACTCACTCTAGACAGCAGTTATGACGCATCGCCTTGTTCCCCTGCCTCTCTATCCACCTACCGCACTGAGAGAAATTAGGACAAGGGCCAGTCCCTTGTGCAAACAGTCTGTAATCATGGACCCAATAATGGAGATAAGGCATTATAGTTGGCTGAAAGGCAAACCTTTTCTCAACATGCAGTCATTAGAGGGAATCAAAACACATTTTTCAAATGTGCCATTGTGATACATTACATTTTGTTTTAGTTATCTTGTTTACTAGGAAGCCTGAAGTACAGAATGGAAACAGATTATTTAAACATGGAGAATGCACAGAGAAGCAGCTATTCATATACCATGAAGATGAGGATTCATTAGATAAAAATTACTGTAGACTTGTAGCAACGCTCTTTCATTTCTGTAGGGGATTGGGCAAAAGAATTATCTTAAGCTGCATTCATACAAACACAGTAAATATGTAAATATGGTGACAAATTTATACAATATACAAAATTAAAAGACATGATGATAATTTAAATTCTGTAGGTCAGACTTTCAGGTCCCTTGAACCAAAGATTTGTGCTTCAGACTTTAAAATGACCATACCAAATGTAACAAATACACATTTGGGCAGTATGTGGTTGTTACAGCCCTGATTGAATCCTTTATGACATGTCTAGGATTAGCTTTTCTAATGCCTTACTGACATAGTTAACATGCTGTACAAAAAGTACAGTAGATTAGCTCCATAACATTTTAATTTAATATGGAAATCAGCAAAACATGTTAAATTTTTGTCCCTATACAGATATTTAAAACGATTAGTCATACAAGGGCCAAAATCACAGTACGAATATGATCATTATTGTACAACAGGTAATATTAGTAACAAAGTAACATTTCTGTCACATCTTTAACAGTTTAAATTGAATGCTGCTCTTTTGATGTAAAGGCACAGTCACAGTAGGAAGTGTTTCACTTAATTATCATTTAAATAAATACATAAATCAAATATGTCAATAAAAGCAACACCTAAAAATCTTGCACAACCACAGTAATTGTCAGAGCACCTGTCGTACTCCCTAAGCAACATGTTAATAAGCAGTACAGGAACTAAATGCGTCACTGTGTTTGGGAGCTGGCAGACATTACAAAATCTGACACTGAATTCTCTGTCTAATGATGAAATTGATGAGAAATACCATTAGGAGATTCACTGTAAGAAGCAATAGTGAGCATCTGTGGTGCTCATGGTGGTCATATAGCTAGCTTCCTTGTCTGGAAGGGGCTTACCTAATATGCTTAACTAACCCTAACAGAAGCTGCCATCATGTGTCTGCTGTTTAAACACGGAAGCCACGGGTAGCTGTATTTTGCCCATATTACCCGTGTACCAAACTACTTCTGACACATGAGAGTAGGTAACAGAGTTCTTCTTTACCTGTGTAAACTGGATGTCTAAGCTGTGATTTATTCATTTAATCATGTTGAACCACTCACTGAGTGGGAAGCTCGATGCCTCTAGGAGCCAGTGGTGCTGATACTGGCGATGGAGTGCAATAGCAGACACACAGTGTAGTCTTGCAACCATGCCACATTCTAATTATGGGTATGCATCAAGGTTCCAGTGACTGGGCTATGGATGCTGTCAAATTGTGTGTTAAATTAAAAACCATATACAGGTGCATTGGGGCAGAGGCAGATGTACAAACACACTCACTCTCACAGACACACAGATGAAACAGAGGCACACATCACACATTTTCTGCTCTGTAATATGGTAATTAGTTGTTATGAAGGCATAAAGAGCCAATCAAATCAGGCTCCTATGGGTATGACTTTGTGGCAGAGCTTTTATTATGATGAATGCTGCTAATATAAAAAGAATGAACCCTCTTCCTATTGATTTCCAGCTATGGTTGAATGGGAAACATGATCATCTAAGACAGCAAATGCCCATGGAATCATAGTCATGATCATCAGTATCGATCACATGACTGATGGTGGTTTAATATAAAGACGGTGTGTATTGTTTTGCTTGCCGTGAAATTATTCCCTATTAAAATGCTAGTGTGTGTGGAGGCTGATTGTGTCAAGGACTGGAAGGGAGGGTGGTGAGTTAAGTCTTTCCATCTCTTTTTATTATAAAGACGTTTCAAGGCCACATCTTCCCTCACTTTATGAATTCTCTGTCTGTCCTTCACTGTCATCAGCTGTTTCACCCTTAAATCATAATCTTTGTCTCCAAACTGGTCATTTAATGGGACTGGTAACTTTAGATTTTTGTAAATTTTGTCACCATGTAGCTCCATCTGTCCTGCTAGCCCTAGCACATTTATCAGTACACATCTCTTGAAATTTTGTGTTTCAGAAAGTGTGTCAGTCAGTGGCCCTTTCTTTTTTCTATCTCTCTGCCTTTGTTAGAATAATCAGTCTCTCTCTCTGTATCTCTCTGCTTATTGTGCTGTTAAAGAAAGAGGAATTTTTTGTCTGGTGTGAGTGTGAGACCTCATGGACAGGGGCCTCCGCCAGGCCTTCCCAGCCCCCCCTCACTACACATTTGGGTTTACCAGGTCTATCCTGCCCTTGTTCCTTGGGCAGACCTCCAACAGAGCAGCACTCAGCCAGGGGTTTGTGAGCATCCCCACACCGGCCTGTCACCTCTCACCCTGGACAGCTCCAGAAAAGGATAGAATCCAGACCCTCTTCAGGAGTTTGGTTCCAGAGCCAAGTCTATGTGTGGATGTAAGCCTGACTATATCCAATTGGTACCATTCCACCTCCTTCCCCACCAGAGAGATGACATTCCAGGTACCTAGAGCTAGCCTACACAGCCAGGGATCAACACACCCAGGTACCTGACGTAGCTGGTCGCCCGACTTGCATAGCGCTTGAACCAAATTCCTTTCCCTGCAGGTGGTGGGTCCACATCACTGGGGAGGCTGGGGAACATGGAATCTTATTATGCCATGTTCAAATCCTCCACTGTAGAAGCACCTACTCTGAGTTGTGGCCAGAAGGTCATTGGTGCCTATCAAGGCAGTAACCTGAGAACCCACTGGTGGACACCAGCCGTGAAGAAAACTGTCAATGTGAAGGAGGCGGCTTTCTAGGCTTGGTTGGCCCAGGGCTCTTCTGAAGCAGCTGATAGATACCAGCAGGCCAAAAGGCTTGTGGCTCAGATGGTTGCAGAAGCAAAAACTAGGGTGTGGGGGGAGCTCAGGGAGCCTGTGTAGAAGGACTTTCGGCTGGCCTCAAGGAAGTTCTGGCAAACCATCTGATGGCTCAGAAAGGGAAAGTGGGGCCTGGCCCAGTTTATGTTTGACAGGGGAGGATAACTGCTGACTTGGACTGTGGATATCATCAGGAGGTGGAAGGAGCACTTTGAGGAATTCCTGAACCTGTCTGACATGATCCAAGCAAGGAAAATAAAGTTATGAAAAATAACAAGGAAAGAACAACTGAAAAGTAACTAAAGGAAACTAGAGTTATGAAAAGTAACTAAAGGGAACTAAAGGTATGAAAAGTAAAGCTTATACAGTAACTAGAGCCTATAAGAAACAAATCTTACAAGGGGCAGCATCAGCAATAATGCTGATGTTGTAATAGACCGTTGTGGTGATGAAAGTGTAGGTGGTGACCGAAAGGATAAGATCATGAATACAAGTGGCCAAAATGAGTTTCCTTTGGAGGATTGCCAAACTTAACCTTAGAGATAGGGTGCAGAGCTTGGACACCCACAAGGGGTTTGAAGTAGAACCACTGCTCTTTCACAAAAGGAGCCAGTTGAGGTGAGTCAACCAGCTTACCAGGATGCCTCCAAGGTGCCTCCATTTGGAGGTAGGCAATCCCTGGGTAGACCCAGGACATGCTGGGGAGATTATATATCTAATCTGGCCTGGGAACACCTCGAAATCCAGCCAGAGGAGCTGGAAAACATTGCCGGGGAGAGGGACATCTGGACTACCC